CAGGGGTAACAGCCTGAAAATCAACCCAGGGTGACCTACCAGATTATCCCTTAGTGCCTCGGCTGGTTCTGCAGGATTGGAGTCCAGGTCCGTCCGAAGCCAAGCAACTTTATCCGTGAGGAATTGGACGTAATCCTCAGCTCTGCCCTGCAAAGGATCGCCCATATCCCTCCTATTTAGAAGGGAGCGGGTTATCCTGAACAGGGCGGCTGGGCGCGACTCAGCGGAAGCAATCAGAGAGGCAATGTGTGTTCTTTTGGTCGTCTGAACCATAAGCCTGGGAAACTCAATTGCCAGCTCAGCTACTGACTCGAGGAGTGAGGGGAGGACTGCTGCAATGCTGTTGGGAGGCAGGTACATTAACAGCAAGCCCACTTGACCCTTGAGGTCCAACTTCACCAGTAAGGACTCACACCCGACAAGCTCCGGAGCAGGGATCCTATGAGGGAAGGGAAGTGAGCCCTGGGCCTCATCTCAGCCTCCTTCCTTGAGAGCAAGGCTCAAGTCCACTCACAGTGACTCCCTCACACCCACGGCCAATGCAGTGGGGAAAGGGAGGAGGAGGAGCCTAGCCAAATATGCTTAATTGTTTGGATCATTGGGAGCCCCCACGTGAAGCCAAGAAAAGATGGGTGAGCACCTCTCACCTGGCATTCAATAGCTGGCATTTCATCTCTGAGGCACAAATTGGGCCTTGAACCATGGCCCACTTGTCTCCCCTTCATGCCTCTTGCAGCTGCCAGTTGCTCAAGGAAGATGGGAGGCTTAGCTGGCCAACTTGTGTAAGATAAGACAGGCAGATTGGTGGGCATGTGACTCTGCCCAGGAAAACATAGAAGGTGCAGAATCAGCTCTGCCCGAAGGTGAGAAGGCTTGGATCCCCCCTCTCCCACCAGCAGAAGCCTTCTGCCACCAGCAGAAGCCTCCAGCAGAAGCCTCCCAAAAAGGCTTGGTGCTCCCTCAGACTGCCCCCCCCCCAGTCAAAACCTCCCAGGAGCCTATGGCTGGTGGGCGAACAGGGGGCTCCGAGCCTTGTCACATTCAGGTAGAGCTGATTCTGTACCTTCTATGTTTTCCTGGGCGGAGTCACCCACCCACCCACCTGCCAGTCTTGTCTTACACAGGTTGGTCTGGAGTGGGTGAGACCCTCTTTGGGGAAGGGCTGTTCCTTTGCTCAGCTTATGCACAGTTCCATGTATGCAGTTGATCTCTTCCTGGCCAAAAGGGTGCCTTTTTGGTCCCAGTGGAGCTTCTGGAAGAGAATGGCTGAAGCAGCTTCTCTCTCCTCCTGCCAGCTGAAGGAAAAGCCCTGGGGAGATATTAATACAAAGTCAATCATATCAGGACACGGCCGATAATTACCCTGTCAAGTGGCTACAGCTGGTTCAAGTGCCGATCAGAACATAGATAAGCACAGAAAATCAGCCTCAACAGACAGCTTGGCTCATGTAGCAATGGCTAGCTAGATTCCTCCCCAATGTCGATAATCTGTACTAAAAGTTGAGCGGTGACTTTCTGGTAGAATGGACTAGGTTCCGTGCGAGCCAAATGGTACTTGTTGATCACTCCCAGATGCCAGCCGCTCCTCACCTATCTATTTTGCTACACTTAGCAGAGAGCTAGATCATAATGCTGGGCCGGTGAGTTGGCCCCTTGTGGGGTGGCTATGTCAGACAGCCCCCTCTACAGCTCCCTCGATCCTTTCAATTTAGTAAGCCAATGAATAAATTTAAAAATCCAGTATCTTCCCAGGGCTTTTCCTTCAGCTAGCAGGAGGAGGAGAGAGAAGCCGCTTCAGCTACTCTCTTCCTGAAGCCCTTCTGATACTGAAAAGACACCCTTTTAGCCAGAAAGAGATCAGCTGCGGATGTGGAACCACAGAGTCTTTTCAAGTATGTAAGCTAAGCAGTGGGAGCGGCCCTTCCCCAAACCCAGTCAGCACTATTTCTGACTCCCCGGTGTCTGAGCTGCAGCAAGCGAAGTGCCATGGGCAGTAGGGAAAACAAAGCTTCTTTGCCAGCCTCCCAGCTGGAAAAACAGAAATTATCACCAACTGGAAGGTATGTGTGTGTGAGAGAGAGAGAGGGGAGAGAGAGCGAGAAAAAAAGAGTAAGCGAGAAAGAAAGGAGGGGAGAGGGAGAGAGAAAGAGAGAGGAAGAGAGAGAGACACAAGAAAGGAAGGAAGGAAAGAAAGAGAGAGACAAGAAAGAAAGAAAGAAAGAAAGAAAGAAAGAAAGAAAGAAAGAAAGAAAGAGAATTTAAGATCACAATTGAGTCCAAAATTTTGTTTGCTAAGCAAGAGTGTTATTAAATGAGTTTCACACATTTTACAAGTTGGTGACTCCCACCCAGTTACATGACTGCCAAACCACACCCACAAAATAGGCTATACCTACAGAATAGCTTCTAAAAAACTTTGAAACCCACCACTGATATACATATATACAATGTTATTAAAGATTGTTTAAAATTAAAAATTAAAAACTGAGATGAACTAAGAGAAAGTGAGAAAAAGAAAAAGAAAGGAATTCAAGATAAAGCAAAAAATGCAAGAAGGGGAAAAAAGTAAAAAAAACTGAAAGAAAGGGAAAAAAGACAGAAAAGAAAGAAAAACTGAAGTAACTTCTGATCTTCTTTCTACAGCATATTAATAAAATCAATTTAGCACATTTTCTGGTTACAAAATAATTTTCCTTTTTTTCCCCCACAGTTTGCTCTGTTAAATCAGCAAAACCATTGTTTTTCTGTGTCATGCATAAGGTCCATAAAAGCTCCCATTCAGCAACAAATGTATTTATTATATTTTCTCTGATGAAACAAATTGGTTTAAATGTCTGAGGAAGTTCTGTTATCTTTCCAATCCATTACTACATTGTGGGTAATACCAAATCCTTTCATCTTTGTACCTACAAAATTTTTGCTGCAGTTATATGTAAAAACTACCCAACTTTTTTCCTAAATATTCTTCCGTCAATCTCAAATGAAAAGCCATTGGTTTCAATTGTATACTCATCTTTAAAATGTTTTGAATTAAGTGTGCACTCGAATCCAGCTTTTTTTACATATTCACCAAACATAATAAAGTGCTAGTTGTTAGTTAATGAAAAGCTCTGATAACTGATTGACAAATAATTATGTAGTAAATAGAAAATATTAACTGACAGTATAAATAACTAACTATTATTCCATAGGCAAGAAAGTCCCCCAACAATAGACTAATAATACAGTAAACCAGATTTGAAGCTGACACTATTGTATTCCATTGTGCCGTTCTTGATCTCTTTTAAACTATTCTCATGATAGTTTTATACCCTATTTTCTGGCTAATACTTACCTCCTCATGATAACTTTTTGCACAGCTTCAAAGAGCAGCCTGAATCACAATATCTGTGTTAATTTTTTTTTGCAATTTTCTAATGACACCTGATTTCAAAATAAATATCAACATCTTAACTAAGCAAAGCTACTTTCAAATAATTCTAACATTTAAACTCCAAATTGGGAATACAGGGCAAGGGAGATTTCTATTGCTGTAATTCAAGTATTCTACTATTGATTCTTGACCATAAAACTTATTTTAAGCAGTGATGAATAAAATAGCATATTTTTGAGGGGGGCATAATCTTATTCAACTACTCTTTGAAGGACATTTTTTTTTATTTCTCCTTTACGATATACTCTCACTTTTTAGGCTACATCTTTAATTATAGTTATTTGTCAATATTTCTATTTTTTATTGTTCTTTAAAGTATGACAATAATTTAACTTTATGCAGATTGGACCATGATAAGAAAGAATTACATTGGCATAATGCAAACCCTCTCTCCCTCTTTTTCATTCTCTTTCTCCCTCTATATCCCCATCAAAGTATCTATTTTTCTGTGTCTGTAGAAAATTCTTTGAGTATCCAACTGTAATTATTTAAATAAAGATACTAAATGATTATTGCATATCTCAACAATTAGAATAGACCATTTTTATAAAATACTTATCTGCAGCAATTATTCAAATAGAGATATAATTGTATATTTATTTATGGAACATACACAGATCAATTATGAAACATATACAGGCCAAAGAAAAGAGAGTCTTCAACAAGCAGAGAAGCACAAAATAATGAAATACATTTAAAAATACAGAATCAACATACTAAATACAATTAACTGAGGATGAAATATTGGCTTTGCATCAACTCTTTACAGCATGATATATTGATTGGAATACTATTCTAGCAATACCTTTAAAAACATTCCTGGGAAATAATAATGCAAATTATAGATTTTTAGAAGTGGATTACATTGTAGATAACTAGCTTGTATGTGTACATTAAACATCAAACAGCAATATTTCCTAATAGGATCATTGTCAATATGTTATATTCACATTGAAAAAGGAAGTTAATTTAAAAAAAATCATAAAAAACATATTTCTTCCTAAGTGAGTCAACCCTAAAAGACAAAGAATCTGCAGTGTCTTTCCAAATAGCTTACTTCCAAAATTTTGCATTATGAAGTGACATGTATGATATAAATCTCTTGTGCCAACTGTTTAAGGCATCTTTAACTTCATTATTTCTAAGACTGTATATGAGAGGATTAATCATGGGAGTCAAAGCTGTATGGAAGAGAGAGAAGAATTTTTTAACATGTGTCACTTTCTTGGTTCTGGGGAGAAGATAGAGAAGCATAAATGTTCCATAATACAAGCCAACCACAATGAGATGAGAAGAACAGGTGGAGAAAGCTTTTTGCCTTCCAGTGATTGATGACGTTCTCAGGATAGTGACAATGATGGAAGTATAAGAGGTGAAGACGAGAAAAAGTGGAGGCAGGGTAAATATATAGGTAAAAATAAAGGAAGATAGTTCAACAAGATAGGTGTCACTACAAGAGATCTCTCTTATGTTAAAAATAGCATCACAGAAATAATGTTCAATCTTATTTGGACCACAAAAAGATAACCATAATATATTCAAAGTTAAGGTTGTGCTCACCATCAACCCAGCTGCCCAAGACACAGCTGCTAAGATGAAACTCAGCTTCCAACTCATGAGAGTAGCATAATCAAGTGGCTTGCATATAGCTAGGTATCTGTCATAAGACATCATTGCTAAAAGATAGCATTCAGTACCTTCTAGGCAGGCATATATATAAAACTGTATAAAACAAGATTGAAAAAGTATATGGTTATCTCCTGTTAATAGGACTGACAACATTTTAGGTATTACGGCAGAGCTGCAGCAGGCTTCCATGAAAGCCAGATTTGCAAGAAAAATGTACATGGGAGTGTGGAAGTGTTGGTTTATCACAACCAAAATGATAATGATGAAATTTCCAACCATAGACAATATGTAAATCACTAAGAAGAGTGAGAAGAGAAGTACTTGTGGTTTTGAGAATTCTCCAAATCCAAGCAGTACGAACTCAGAAATAGTAGTATCATTGGTCATGGTTGCTGCATCTAGAAAAAACAAATCATTTCATCAGTTTCACGAAGAGAATTTGGACTGAAGACAAAGAAGGGAAACCAGTATAGCTAAGAAGCTGAACAATTTTGACATTATTTAACTAGCAATGAACTATGAAAACTCTGATATTTCAGAAGAACATATGCAATACTTAAATTATTATGTCATATCCTGAATGTTCTCATAAAAAGTTTGATCATATTATGTTCTCAGTTGCAAAATATTAATTTATCATAAAATCAAGTAGTGAAGTTGAATTACAGAAAGTTTCTAACACACACACACACACTCACACACACACACACACACACACCATGCATAGAGTTGTTTTTACCAGATTAATCTTTAGCCTTATGAACAATAGATATATTTCCAAAGATAGCATTAGTGTAATATTATCAGAGCACATAGGGAAATTAATGAATCTAGACAAATATTGCAAAATAAAGATAATAATATTGCATATTCATCTTTTGTTTTGCACATATTGTTCCCTATGCTCATTAAGTTAAAATAATATTTCACAAGCTTCATGAGTTTGACTGACCACAACTTTCAGAGCATCACAGAGATGGCATTTATTCTGCAGTAATATATGTATGTGTATGTGTATGTGTATGTGTATNACCCGGATTGTTGGGGGCAATATGCTGACTCTGTAAACCGCTTAGAGAGGGCTGAACGCCCTATGAAGTCTAACTGCTATTGCTATTCATAAGTCTAACTGCTATTGCTATTCATAACATGGGTCCAGGTTATTTGATGAACCATCTCGTGTTGCTAGAACTGGCTTGTCCCACTTGTGCTGGCAAAGGAGTCTTGATACAGATCCTGTCAGTCAAGGAATTCTGACTTGTGGATTCTGTGCTTAGCATTGTTTCTCTGAAACATCATGTCCCTATTCTTTTGTCCTATCATAAGGGCCTTCAGACCTAGCTCTGCTGATTGGCCTCAGGGCCCAATGGAAGAGTATCACATTGGAGATGTCTATTAAACTAATTGCAAATGCCGTTTCCCCCTTTGTAGATCTTGTTTGTCCTCACCCATCTATTAATTCATATTGAGATATTTTTATTATTCAATCTTTATTGTTTCATTGTTTACCATTGTTTTATTTGCATTGTTTATAGTTTTACCATCTACTATTGCAAGTCACCTAGAATAGCCCCATGGATTGGCAGCAAATAAATTTAATGAAATAAATGAATAAGTAATATTAGCATATATTAGTTTAATAACATACATACATAATTTTACTGAAAGAGTTTTTCAAATGGAAGACATGATGCAAGCTGATATAAAGGGAGAAAAAGAAAAGAAAAATCAAAGTTAAGAAAAAACTAAAAGCACAAACAAACTTGAAAAGAAAGAAAAAAGCTATGATGAAGTAACTTCTGATCTTCTTTACAACAGTTATAACTACAATTATAAATTTAGTTCTTACTTGTTAATTTTAACAATTTACTTTTTCTAAAATCTATTCTGTAAAAGTAACAAAAACATAAACCATAAGTTTATTTCTATTTTTATCATGCAGAGTATATGTGAGAGATTTCTAGTCATCAATACGTGTACAGCTGTATGAAAAAGTCCTGCATGGTTTACTGTTTACAGTTTATGACATTTTTTGGATAGGCCATTGATTTTATGCTAAGCGCTTTGCAAATAATATTATATTTAAATAAATACTGGTGGTTTCTAAATGAAAAGCATAAGCTTTTTTGCAATTTGGTGCTGTTTGGATGGGGATTGTGAATTTTCTCGCATGCTTACAATGCATGCTTACAATCACTATGAAACAGATTAACTGATGCATACCAATGGCGTATGTGCTGCAATTACTAAAGCTGATGCTAGTGTTTTGTTAACATTTTTATTTTTTGTGGCCCTGAAAAGGACTGTTTAGGTAACCAAACATGGTTACTAATATGAAATTGGCCAGCCCTTATTGCTTATCACCAGGTGGCATCGCTTTGGCATAGACCAGTGATGGTGAACCTTTTTTTGCTGCCATGCCAAAAGTGGAGAGGGAGCATAGGGGGTGGGGTGACATGCACCAGCATGCCATACCCATAAAGCTAGGTTCACGACACAACCCACGCATGTGTTTTAGCACATAAACTCACTCAAAACCTTAAGAAGACTTTGGTTATATTAATAAAAATTATGCATCTCAATCCGACTGCAGAAACTGTCATTAAAGTAGCAATTTTGCATGGTTTCTATGAGTGAAAAGTTGATTAAACATGTAAATACAGCTTAAAACTGAAAGCATGTAGAACTTTTTCAAACAGCAGTAGATGTCTTTTTGCTGATAAAAAAAGTAAATTAAC